GGGGGGGGATTTACTGTATGCTGTTAGAGACTGATTGCCAGGAGTGTAAGCCGCTTGGGTGCTTTTCCTGTTCGTCTGCTAGCAGCTATTCGTGAGGTTCCAGTTCGGGTGTTTGGAGCATTCCCTTGTATGCAGTTGGGTGTTTGGAGCATTCCCTTGTATGCAGTTCGGGTGTTTGGAGCATTCCCTTGTATGCAGTTCGGGAGTTTGGTGTTCTGCAGTAGCTGTGCCTGTGTATCTGAAAAGGGGAATATAGCCTAAACGGTTTTAACCACTTGTGTGCTGAAACGGTCCGTTACAGGAAGCATGGCGAAGAAATAATGAAAGTCCCACAGGCTTTGGCTAGCAGGCCTGGACATACCTCGGATTGGATTACTTCTCAATTATCTCCAGGACGGAGAGAGGGAAGTTAGGATGTATTGTGGGGAGGTTTTACCTCTATGTGTCCGTCATTGGTTCATGTCTGTCCTTTGTCACAGTCTCCCATTTGGTCACCTAGGGGATTGTCCACCAGGTGGGAGACCTGCATAAATACTGGGCAGGTAGCCCTCATTAAACCAGACCACTGCTTGACCCTCAACACGGAGCCTTGTCTCGTCTTTTGGGGGGGGGGGATTTACTGTATGCTGTTAGAGACTGATTGCCAGGAGTGTAAGCCGCTTGGGTGCTTTTCCTGTTCGTCTGCTAGCAGCTATTCGTGAGGTTCCAGTTCGGGTGTTTGGAGCATTCCCTTGTATGCAGTTGGGTGTTTGGAGCATTCCCTTGTATGCAGTTCGGGTGTTTGGAGCATTCCCTTGTATGCAGTTCGGGAGTTTGGTGTTCTGCAGTAGCTGTGCATCTGAAAAGGGGAATATAGCCTAAACGGTTTTAACCACTTGTGTGCTGAAACGGTCCGTTACAGGAAGCATGGCGAAGAAATAATGAAAGTCCCACAGGCTTTAGCTAGCAGGCCTGGACATACCTCGGACATTTGGGTGACCCTTGGAGGGGATTGTGAAAGAAGTTACCTTGATTCCAAGGTTCAAGCTTACAGGTGTCATATTAGATAGCCTATATTAAAATTGGCTAGCTTGGACTCAGGAAATGCTTAAAACGACACTTGAGACCAAATAGGTCTAGTTCCAGGAGCAGATAGCCCCCACCTGAGCTGTCTCTCCTAAATCAGTCTGTTCCTTCTCTTTCCTGAACCTATCTGTTATATGCACACGACGTTCTTTCCTATGTCGTATCTGTACTCCCTTAACCCTTTCACTTCCTTCCTACTACTGGTTATGAGTATTTGCACTTAAGCACTTACTTTTTAATATATAAAAACCACAACTGACTAAATAAAAGGTCAGAGACTTATTTTGATAACCAACACGCATCTGGTGTCTAATTCATGCTTCTCCAAGTGCACCTGAAACTACTTGGGTTCCCCTGAATATCACAAAGATCAGATTGGATCTATATCAAGTGCGCGTGATATTCTTTGTTTCCCCAGCTGGTTTCGGCATGAGTCCCAAATCTTAAAGGTTAACTATATTGCCAGGAAAACAAACTTGTTTTCCTGGTTATGTAGTTTCCTTTTCTGTCAAGGCCAACCCCAAGGTGCAGAAGGGGTTAATAACCCCTTCTGTTACTTACCTGGGTCCAGCGCAAATGTCCCTTGGCTGAGACCTTATTCAATGCTTTTTATGGGGATTCCGGTGATGCTGGAAGTCCTCATGCATAGCGTGAGGACGTCCAGCATAGTTTAGATGACCAAAAGTCATCTAAGCATCCGGAAGTCCCTATAGTGGCTGTAAAACTGCAATAATTACATGCTCAGGGTTAAGGGCGATGAGAGTTGGCACCCAGACCACTTAAATGGGCTGAAGAGGTCTGAGTGCCTACAGTGTCCCTTTATGTGTGAGTGACGTGGTGGAGTTTTGGTCTTTGGTGTTGGGGTATCCACACTAGTGTAGGAAGGGTAATGCCATTTGAGTAGATAGATTCAATATTTATCCATTGGTGTGGTGTCATGCAATGAGAGGCTGAGAGAAATTGTCCTATCAAGGCCGCCCTGTAGTATCCTAGAAGAGCAATTGTCCTATCAAGGCCGCCCTGTAGTATCCTAGGAGATCTCATTCATCCCTGTGTGAAGGTCTTATATCGTGTTGTCTTTGTTACTCTCCGCCTGGCTATACTGTACCTGGTAGAGATGCCTGGTATGATCCTAAATATAGGCATTCAGCATTTTTAGGTAGCTGGAGAGAAGTTTAATTGGAAGTGTCTGTAAAAAATACTGTATTTTCGGTAAGATTGACATTTTAAGTATAGCCATCCTTCCCATCCATGAGAGATATTTCCCCTTCCAGTTTGTTAAGTGACTCTTGATTTCCTGTTATGCTACTTGGGGTGATTTGGATTGGAACTCAACTGCAGCTTGTAAACTCCCTAATTACAATAGTGAAGAAATGGAGAATCTTTAAAGTATCAATACTGTAGCTTTAAGAAAAGAGGAATCGCTGGTAACTTGATTCAAACAAAGTTTTAATAAGTGTTAAACTTAAATTAATTGCATTTAGGCAATAATCCAATAAGAAGAAGTGCAAGTAATCAACAACACAAAGTTCATTATTAAGTATTTCTTCAGAGATGCATTAAGTAACATTCTTTGGTTAATGAGAATAATCTTCAATAGAAACATTAAGCAAGTAGCTGAGAATATTTGCAAAGCAAGAACAGTTCATAGTGAATGAGCATGATGGGAGTTGTCCTCCATGTAATTAGTAGTTTGAAGCATTGAGTGTCTTTACAAAGCAAGAAACAGTTCATAGTGAATAAACATGATGGGAGTTGTCCTCCATATAATTAGTAGCTTGAAGCAGTGAAGATTTGAGTAAGCAAGTATTAGTTCATTATTAATAGTGATGTCGCGAACCCGAAATTTTCGGTTCGCGAACGGCGAACGCGAACTTCCGCAAATGTTCGCGAACCGGCGAACCGCCCGAAACGCCATTGACTTCAATGGGGAGGCGAATTTTAAAACACACAGGGACTCTTTCTGGCCACAATAGGGATGGAAAAGTTGTTTCAAGGGGACTAACACCTGGACTGTGGCATGCCGGAGGGGGATCCATGGCAAAACTCCCATGGAAAATTACACAGTTGATACAGAGTCTGGTTTTAATCCATAAAGGGCAGAAATCACCTAACATTCCTAAATCACAATCAATATGGATTGACACCTGACATATGACATATTGACACCTTTGACATATGGATTGACACCTGTCCTCAGAGCCCCTGATGCACACGGACACAGAGCAGAATAGGGACTGTTCCCCCTACATCGGGTCACTTGGCAGATATGGATTGACACCTGTCCTAAGGTTCCCTGATACACACTGACACAGAGCAGAATAGGGACTGTTCCCCCTACATCGGGTCACTTGGCAGATATGGATTGACACCTGTCCTAAGGTTCCCTGGTACACACTGACACAGAGCAGAATAGGGACTGTTCCCCCTACATCGGGTCACTTGGCAGATATGGATTGACACCTTGTTACAAACTGCTATTTGTAACGGGCCCCTTTAATGGCAAATTGCCCTGCTTCCCTGGGTTGTGGAGAAGCCTATTTGCCAGCCTCCTCCCGCATGACTATGGCCCCTGGGAGATTGTGAAAATGTATGCACTTTTATTTGGTGTGTATGGCCTTTAAGACTGTCAGTGGGCATATTTGGGGCTTATGGACTCTTTATGTGACTGGTGCTGGCCCTTTAAACACCTTTTTTGGGACATCAGGAAGATTGGGACACTGCCCTTTTAAGGCCGTGTCCCCAGACTTG